GGGAAGAGGTAACTATGGGGAGGAAGTGGAAGGGAAGCTGTTGCATTGTGGTAAACTGTGGTCAATGTCATGAGACAAAGTATATGTAAACTGCTATATGGAAAGTGAATTTGCTCTGTAAATCTTCATCCAAATCACAATAATAAATAAATAAATAAATAAATAAACTGGGGAAAAAAAAAAGAACTGATGGTATTGAAGGAGAAGTCTAAGCTGCAGTGAAAGCATTGGTTGAAAAGTAGAAAAAAAAGAAGACAAAATAGATGGACCTTCATAATAAGTACTTTTGTTCATCAAAGGATTTTACCAACAACGTGAAAAGATACATATAGGTATGGAGAATAATTTCGGGATCATTTTTCCAATAATGGTCTAATATCCAAAATATATATAAATGTCAACCACTTAGCAACAAAAAGATAAATCCAATCAAAAAATGGGCAGAGGAACAGACGATTCAGCAAAGAGTATATTCAGATTGCTAACAAGCACATGAAAGCATGCTTAACATCATTACACACTACAGAGATGAAAACAAAAAACAAAATGAGATATTGCTTCATCTGCATTATGATGGCAACAATCAAAATGGAAAACAAATGTTGGGGAGGTTGTGAAGAAACTGGGAGCCTCATCCATTGCTGATGGGAATGCAAAGTGGTACAGCCATTGTGGAAAACACTTTGGTGATTCTTCAAAAGGTTGAATATAGAACTACTTTATGATCTAGCAATCCCAATCATAGGTGTACACCCAAAAGAAATGAAGGCAGGAATACGCACGGAAACCTGTACACCAGTGTTCATTGAAGCACTTCTCACAACAGTCAAAAACGTGGAAACCGCCAAAATGTCTATCAACAGATTAATGGGTGGACAATATGTGGTACGTAGGTGCAATGGAGTATTATGTAGCCATAAAGAGAAACGAAGTCCCGATGCATGCCCTACATGGAACAATGTTAAAATGTGCTGAAGGAAATCAGTTGCAAAAGGACAGATGTGTTTTTTTTTTTTTTTTAAAAAAAAAAAAGATACTCTTTGATTTCACCTATATGAAATAAGCAATACACAGAAACTGAGATTATTAATGGGGGTGGGGAAAGGAGGAGTTTTGTTTGGGGGACATTTTTATGTTAATGGTGGTGGGATAGTTTGGTAAAGGACAGGGCTAATGGTGGCACAATATTAAAAATGTCATCAGTGTCATTGAAATGCGGAAGCTGTGCTGGGGAATGTTTTGCTGCGTATATTTTCACCACCATAAAATAATTTAAAAATTAATGCAAAAAGAATTCCGTATAAACATTATAAAGACAGAATCTAATCCTGCACTTTCACAATCCTGCCTCATTAATCCCAATAAAACTTTCTTTAACGAAAACAGGTGGCCAGCTGGGGTTTGTCAATACATTTACGTAAAATATTAAAGTGTTGTTTATTTCGATTACTGAAGTGTTGAGGACCACCTTACACTTTGCGCCCCAAGTGAGTGAAACAGCAGCAGCAGAGCTATTTCCATGCGACCGCCCAGGATGGCCGCCCAGTCAGCCACCTCGATGGATGGATGACCTGCTCCGCCTGCATCTGGCCGCCGCCTTTGCTTTTCTCCTGCAACGGAACACACCTGGCGGTCGCCCTCTACTTGGCAAGGCCACCTGGCGGATGGCACGCAGCGCCCGGCCCTCTCGTGTCGCCAGAGTTTCCTGCGGGCCAATGGCTAGGGGTCCCCTCCCGGCCCGGGCCGCGTCCCGCGGAGCGGCCAATGGGAGCGCGGCATGCAAATGAGCAGGTGCGGTGGCGGCGGGCCCAGCACGGCTGCCGGGGCTGTTAGAGGCGCGCTGGGCGTCCGCGGAGCAGACGCCCGGGCTTCGAGCTGCAAGCTCTGGTCTCCGGCCATGGCCCCCGCTCCGCCCCTCGACGCCTCCTTCTCGCCTGCCGAGGTGCAGAGGCGCCTGGCGGCCGGCGCCTGCTGGGTCCGCCTCGGGGCCCGCCTCTACGACCTTACGGGTTTCGTGCGGCACCACCCGGGGGGCGAGCAGCTGCTGCGGGCGCGGGCTGGCCAGGACATTGGCGCCGACCTGGACGGGCCGCCGCACCGGCACTCGGCCAACGCGCGCCGCTGGCTGGAGCAGTACTACGTGGGCGAGCTGCGAGGGGACACGCAGGTACAGCTGGGCCGGGGTCCCTACCGTCTCCTGCCCGCCCTCAGCCTGCATGCCCCGTTCCCTGGCGGCATCCGTTCGCCTGCCCTCTGGGCGCACCCCTGGTGGCGGCCTCCGCACCGTTCTCCGCTCCCCGCTCTCCTCTCCGGGTAGCAGCTCACCGCCCCTCTCCCTCTTCTCTCCAGCGCTCAGCCGACCCTCCTCCATCCTCTGCAGTTATCCCCTCTTCCGACCTGTTCTGTCTGCAGCCTCTGGCTCCTGACAACCTGAATGACCGTTTCTGGCCCCAGCATCTTACTCTCCCTTATTAGCCTCTCCTTTGCAGCTGCCCTCCATTTCTGTTCAGAAGAGGGGTTCCAAGCCTTACCTGTTTTGCCCTCCCTACCCCATTCCTGCTTCCAAGAGTCCTGATCACTTGTTCTCCTCAGCTAGTTTGGATTTCCTGGTGCTGCCTTAGCCTTGCACTTACCTGGGGGGCTTACGTGGGTGGCTGAGGTGTATCTACGATCCTCACAGATCTCCCACCATCCGTTGTCCTAAATGCTGGGTTAGGGGTCTGGGAGAGAGTAAAGGGTAGGTTGTTCTGCAGAAGGATTAGCACTTTGAGCTCAGGTTGTGTGTCTGAGTTGTATGCTGCTTTGCTATACAGGTTCATTGGCATTTAAGTCTCCAGATGATCCGGTGATAAGAGCTCTGCTGTGGCACAGTGCCTAAGGCATTTGACTGCTAACCAGAAGGTTGGCAGTTCAAAGCCACCAGCCGCTCCATGGAAGGAAGACTGGGCAATCTATTTCCATAAAGATTTACCCCCTCAGAAACTCAGTGGGGGTCGCTATGAGTCAGAATCAACTCGATAGCAGTGGGTTTTTGGTTGTGATGATTCTGGGACAGGTATTGTTATCCTCATTTTGTTGTTGTTGTTTTTGCTATGTGCCGTCGAGTCAGCCCCGACTCATGGCGACCCCTCCTTGGGTTTCCGAGGCGGTATCACTACAGAAGTAGATTGCCCAACCTTTCTTCCGAGGAGTGGCTGGTGGATTTGAATGCCAGCCTTCTGGTTAGCAGTCAAGTGCCTTGGGCACTATGCCACCAGAGCTCCTTATCTTCATTTTAGGATGTAGAAACTGAGGCTTAAAGAGGCTGTGTAATTTGTCCAAAGTCAAACAGCTAAATTAGGGAAAAGCCAAGGCTATCTGGCTCCAAAATCAATGCTATCCCCACCCTGAGGACCCTCAGGCAGGAGAGGGGCCCTAGTCACAGGGCTCCAAGTACGCATAGGCCAGAGACTTACAAACAGACTTCTAGGCCTGGCTGTAGAACAGTGGTGCCACCATGTTGGGACGTGAACGAACAGCTGCTCACTTCTAGCTATTGCTTTGAGATGAACCCAGCAAGCGCTTTTGGGTCTTTGGAGGAAAAAAAATTAGCTCTCTCTGCTCCAGGTGGCTTCTTGTTGGGATGAGCTGTCTTGCCTAAATCTTCAATCATTTATTCACTCACTCACTTGGTCATATAGTGGTCGATGGACAGCACTGTGCTAGGTACTGGGGAGGCACCAGTGAACGAAATCAATATGGTTCCAGTCTTTGTGGAGCCAACAGGCTAATGGGAGGGGAGGGAACATATTAATTGCACAATAGTTATTCATTTGAACGGTTTTCTCAGAATATGGCTTAGGGGTGCTGTCTCAGATTGGAGGGGAAGATGTTTAAGGAGAGCTTTCTTGAGAAACTGACGTGTTGAGAGCTAAATGATGGATGGGATTAACCCTGGCAAAGTGTGTGGGGAGAACATGCCAGACAGAGGGAACAGCATATGTGAAGGCTCTGAAGAAGAAGGGATTGGCACAGTCAAGGGGCAGAAATGAAACCAGTGTGACAGGAGTCTAGTGGGCAGAGAGGAATGTGGAACAAGATCCCCTATCCACACAGCATACAGAGCTGCGTAAGTCTAGGTTAGGATTTGGGCCTTGATTCTAGGAGCCACAGGAAGGCAGGGAAGGGATTTAAGCAGGGGCGTGGTGTGATCAGATTTGCATCTTTGGAGGAGCGCTCTGGCTGTAGTCAGAAGTATCAGAGGGAGCAAAAGTGGATGTCAGGAGACCAGAAGGCTACTGCATGGTCCAGGTGAAAGGTTACCGTGGCTTGTACTAGGGCGGCTGTGGTCCATGGGAAAGCAGGAGATGGATTTGAGAACTCAAAGGTAGAACACCAGGACTTGGGGTTCTGCAGCAGGAGCCCAGCTTCATCTTGAAAGCTGAGGTTTGCTGTCAAATCAGGCTGAAGGGGCAGAATGTTTAGCTGTAGTTAGAACTAAAGCCAAGTGCAGGAAATCAGAGAGGTTGAGATCAGAAGACTGGTGGTGTGGCTCGGGAACCCATCCTACCTTGTAGCTGCATTCTGTAGCTGAGAGCCTTAGGCTATGGCTTCTCCAGCTCCATCCTCAGATCACTCTTGGCCAGATGCCCTGGATGGCCCCACCTCCCCGCTCTGTAACCACCCAGCACGAAAGTTGGATTTGATTTTGCTTTGTGTTACTTTGCTCTGCCTTATGTGACCCTTAGGAAGGACTCCAAGAGAATACTGGGTCCAGCTTTGCTCCCCACACCTGCACTCACCCTCCAAGTCCCAGTGTGGCCATACTGTAGGCTTTTTATATCTGGGCTCCAACTTGAGGATATGGAAAGACCTAAAAACTAACCACAAACCTGCAAGTCCATGACTCAGCACTCTAGTTGTTCGTGGGCAACTGCCTGCAGTTTTCTGTTCTGGGAGCCTGTGTAGGGTTGTCTTTTAGTTGGAGGAGAGGAGTGGTCAGCGGAGGAATATGGGGTGGGGAATCCTTTTAGAAAGAAACTCTCTTTTGAAACCTGAGTGGAGACACATTTCTCTTTTGTAGCTAAACCCTTCTAGCAATCCCCAGACTGTCCTTCTCCACCTCCCCCCTCTCCTCCTGCTGGACCAGTGTTGGTGACACCTGTTGAGGGCAAGCCTGGCTCCTGTAGTGTGAGGAGAGGAGGAGGCATTAGGAGGGGAGGGCAGTGCCATTAACCAGCTCTGTTGTTTGGGCTCATTTTTTTAATGGTTTCCTTCAAAAGGGTCCTTCTTTCCTAGCTTCAGCCTTGGGCATCAGGGCTCCAGAGCTGGACTGAGGGGTTTCCAGGGAGAAGGCCTGGCCTCGTTCATTTCCCCTGTCCCCCTCTTTGTTTATCACACCCCCTCGTGCACACACTTATATACACATTCACACTCACGAAGGCACACACACAAAACAAGTTGAACTTGTTTGAGCCGACATACTGTGAGAGTGTGGGGAGGCTGAGCTGCTGGTCTTGAGCAGGTAAAAGTGCGGTGACTGAGCGAGGAGGGTGAGCCCTCTTCTCTCCCGGGGCCTTGGGCCAGTGGGGTCCAGCTCCTCACTCCACGCTCATGTAAGAAAAGTCTTCTTCCAGTTGCAGCTCATAGTGTCATTAGGGCATGGAGTCCATTTTTGAAGTTGCAACCTATATTTGAAAAAAGAGAAAGACATGAAAGAGTTTTGGATCTAAACCTACCTCCAAGATACTGTGTTTCTTGGATTTGGGTCATCCAAGAATTACTGTCACAGGGTTTTTGTTGTTATTTTCCAAATTGGTATATGCTTTGAACTATTATATTTAATGTTTATCTTTAAATCGATTCACTTTTTATTTTACTATTGATGCACCTGAGGCAATAAGATCAACAGTGAAATCATAGGTTTTACAGGCACTTTAAAATAAATCTGTGCTGGTGGTGTTAGCTGCCGATGAGTCACCTCTGCTCATGGCGACACCGTGTCCAACAGAAGGAAATATTGCCTGGTCCTATGCCATCTTCACCGTCATCGGGATGCTTGAGCCTGTTGTCGTGGACACTGTATTTTGAGTGCCTTCCCACCTACAGACTTCATCTTCCAGGACTGTATCAGAAAGTATCGTTATGATCCATGGGGTTTCCACTAACTAATTTTTGGAGGTAGATCTCTGTGCCTTTCTTCCCAGTCTGTCTCAGTCTGGAAGCTTCACTGAAACCTGTTCATCATGGGTGACTCTGCTGGTACTTGAAATACCTGTGATATAGCTTCCAGCACTATAGCAGCATGGAAGCCACCACAGTAAAATAAACTGATAGACAGGGGGTAGAAAATAAATATAGAATGGTGAAAATAATAAATGCACAATCTTGCATCTCTGAAAATCATCCTGCACACCATCAATGGAGTACACGCTACACTTTGGGAAATCTTGGTGGTATGCAGGTCATTTTCTTTGATTGATGAAAGAGATGAGATTGTATGTAAAAACAGTGTGACATAGAGTCAGCTTTCATCACAGACCAACAGGGGTCCTGCTACATGCCAATCCTGCTGCCCAGGGCATGATAATGGTCAGAGAGTAACTCAAATGTCACCCTCTCGGACACACAGACCTTGAGAGTTCCTCCCACGGGTAAGCATTTTACCGTGCCAGCTGGATAAAAGCCTTCTGTTTGAGGAGACCCTGAAGAAATCAGCTCCCTAGCTACCAATGTCAGGGTGACCTTCGTGTCTGATGGGAATGTCTCTAGGTGCCGTGGCCCAGTCCCACAGGGAACGTGTCTGTCTCTGAGCAGCTGACAAGACCACAGGTTCTGCCACATGTTCTGCCAGGCTTTGAGCTCTGGCCGCTCTGACCTTCAGGACTTGTGTAATTGAATGATGATGGACAGCAGGGAGGAGATCTAAGTGCAGGAAGACTTGGGCTTACCACCCTCCTCCAGGCTCTGGAACATCTTAAGCACAGGCCAACTCAGAAAGCCAGACTGAACGGAGAAGTCAGATAAAAGCTGATGCTTGGAGAACTTGCTAGACTGCTCCTGCCTGCAAAGGAATCTCCTAACTGAAGGGGGTTGTGATACACTTGTCTAAAAGGAGGGCTTCCTAATCAAGGCTGCTTGGCCCGTCAGTAGTCATTGTCCTTCTCTGCTTGTTAGGTACTCCTAAGC